ACAGCAGTGATTACACCTCTTTTCTTACATGTCTTACATCTCTCAGCTTGATGAATGTTACAAGTTCAGACTTTCTAAGGACATATGTGATATTTGAATCTTGCAAAGTACCTGGCTAATGTTTTTGTTAGCAGTCTCCAACAGTGCTGACATGGGAAAAAAAAACTTTGTTTGCATTACATTCAGTTTTTACAAATATATGAAAAACAGCTTTTAGTTAAAATCGCTGCAAAGGATTTATGTGGGGCTTAGCTATGCCTAACAGTTCTCTGATTGCCGACACAGTTTACTCAACTAAAATTTTTGGTGGTTTTTGGTAACCTTTAAGTGCTGCAATTCAACTGCCTGAAACCAGCATGTGATCAGTCGCTATACTGCATTTAAAACATCAACCGTGCACCTGTTGAATACAGAACAGCTCATTTGTGATCTCTATGAGTAAACCCAATGAGCATGTGTCCCCACAGACCCCACAGTGTTTTTATCTTGCTTTTCCCTGACACCTAGTGGACACTGATGGGCATGTGGTATGTGATGTATATGATTGAATAGAAAAGCCAAAATTTGTGTGGGGTGTTATAAGACATTTCACAGTGTAAAACCACTCTGACCTGTGGCACACTGCATACTGTGAAAAGTATTAATGCTGTTTATTTACTTTATATACTGAACAGTATAACTACTGTATATTTTATCATCATTAGTTGATTAGTGTGTTTATTGGACTACAATTAGGCCTCATTTATACCAAGGTAAGCACTGGAAGTATCCAACTCATTATAAATTCATAATAAATGCTAATAAAAACTGGAAAATTGCAAAAAGATTTCTTTTAGTTTCCATTTAATGGCTGATCTATTAGAAAGTAATGTATTTATCTCACAGCTTACAGAATGAGAGTTCATAGGTTAGGAGCTTTAGTGGCCCACATGTTGTGCTCAAGCATTTGCACTAAAGAGGCGATCAGTGTGTTTGTGTGCATTACGCTTGGACACTACACTATGTGTAATCTGTCCAACAAAACCGCTGCTGAGCTCTTCACCTCCTTTTAGAGTCACAGTCGCAGGAGCAGGGAGGAAATCAAACTCCAGCATGAAAGATGTGCCGGCTTTGCAAAACTCCTTTTTTCCCTAAGAAAGACCTGCAAGAGATTTGGAGGTGAGACACTGTAGTAGAGAGGCATCCCTCCTTGTTTACAGTGACAGGACTTAGGAGACAGAAGCATTAGTATGCAGCTACTCTTCTTATTCACATTTCTTAAATCTGTTAGTGTGATAAAACAAAGAGTACCTTGACCATTGCTTACGCCAACCATATTTTTTCTAGCCTGCTCCTAATATGTATTAAAGTCTGGTTACCATGTAGTTAGATGGACGCTAGGAGCTATTTTCTTACTGTAGTACCAGCCAGACTGCACATTTATATTTTATTATGATTGCCTTTCGTGCTATTGCAGCTATATGATGACCCAGAGGTGTTCAGGCTCAAAGCTCATTTAAATTATCTTCAATACTGTCAGTTTCAGCCACATCACTCAGGCTGCTAGTTAGAGACAAAATCCTCTGACTTGTATACAGTGAGTTTGTTTCTACCTCATTGTTCATTTCTGGCAGCTTATGTAAGAGTTTGCTGGCCATAAGCTGAGTGATCACAACTGTCCCCAGTTACATATAACATTTGATTTATAAAACACAAACACTTGGCAACACTGATAAGGAAAAATTCCCTTTTAACAGGAAGAAACCGCCGGCAGATCCAGCCTCAAGGACGGGCAGCAATCTGCTGTGACCAGTTGGGAGTGAGGGGAAGGAGACAGGACAAAAGACACACTGTGGAGCCAGAGTTTCATAAAAACAAGTATAAACATAAAGACATGAGTGAAGAAAAAACTCAGTGCATCATGGGAACCCCCAAAAAGCCTAGGCCCAATTGCAGGCTGACTAAGGGAGAATCCAGGGTCACCTGATCTAGACCTAATTATATGCTGGAAAGTTTTAAGTCTAATCTTAAAAGTAAAGAGAATGTCTTTCTCCCAACTCCAGATTAGGAGCTGGTTCCACAGACACCATATAAGTGCCACACGTGACCAAGCTTAGCCAGTTACAAAGGTATTTTGTGCATCTGCATTGTTCAAAAACGGCAATAAGCAGCAATGATTATAACAGAAATTAGAGTTTAATACAACATGGACTTTGGTGTTTGTTTAGCTTATGCAAATTATTATTTGACATGTCATTTGGGGGTATGCAGCAGTGAAGCTCTAACACGACAAGTATGCCCAGCTCTCCTCCACTCTCAACATACCCTGGAATAGCAGCTCGAAGAAGGCTCACAACACCATAAATGACTCCTCCCATCCAGACTACAAACTGGATCTAAACCAGGGATGTCAAACTTATACTACACTGTGGGTCACATACAGCGCACCTGATCTCAAAGGGCTCAGACTCTTTCTGTCAGCTTAAAGAAAGTTACTACCTTTAACTTAACATTTAATCCCAGAGATATTTTAATACAAGGAAACTGCATTAAATTGGCGGGCCTAATTATACGATGAAACACAGGTGAGAGTAATGACGATGGGGCTTTCAGTCAAAAATGAGAGGAACAAAAGCAGGAAAAAGGCTTGAAAAAGACAGAAAAAAACCTAACCTACAGACTAAAACAGGAAATGACAAAAACATGAAAAACTAACACATGAAGACAAACGTTCAGGCCGGAGGCTGGAAAAACCATAAACACAGCCAATGTAACAAGGATCAAACAGAACAAATACACTGCAGAAACCTGAAACGATGACATGTTATGACATGACAGAGCGCTTTGAGTAGAAAAGCGCTATATAAGAATCAGTCCATTTACCATTTATCATTTAATCATTGTTGGCTCACAGACAGACAGACAGGCCTTCAGGCTGGTAGCAGAAGGGTAGAAAAACACATCTTCTCTCAGAGGATGGTCACATAAATCAGTCAACCTCAAAGAGCAATTAATATTACTCCCCAACATTATCATATCTGCTATACATAATAATAATAATGATAATAATTAAAAGAATGCCAAATATATCCAAGATACTGACAGGTGAGGGGATAAACTTTCAACAGTTAAAGCAGCACATCATCTGCCAAAGCCAGTGGCCTATTTTTCATATTTCAAGTAAGCAGTCTGAATCTGTACCAAGATCTTCATTTCCTCATGCTCCACCTCTTCACCCACTTTCAGGAAATTCTCTGACAGATATACAAACAGACAAATAGCTCTATGTGTCTGATCATATTGTAATTAAAGCATGGGAAGCCCCAAGCATCCCGACAATGTGGTAATTTTACTTTTGAACACTAGGTGTTCTAGTCTTTGTGGCTGTACTTCTATTAAACTTCTCAAAAGGGATTCATGTATTTTTTCTTAAACCAACAAGTATTTATTTGTACTTCATGCTCCGTGTTGATCAGTATATCAGTACTAGTGCTGATATTAAATGGGTTCTGTGGAAACCATTCCACATGACTGAGCGAGAAGCAGTTTGCCTCTCAGTCTAATAAACCCTTCACTGCACAAGGAGCCATTTTTGGTAACTTAAATGGACATCAACATTGACCTCGTTATGACTCACTGTGATTTCGTAGAACCAGGTGAATTTCTTCCAGTCAATCAGCAAAGATCAGGTTATGTGGCAGATAATGCAGTGAGATCACTGCATCAGCTCGATCAGCCTGAAGTATTTCAAACTTCAGCGTTCTTCAAGAATTCAGGAAACTGGGTGTTTTTGGCCTTAGCTACTCACACACTTGTCATCATCAGAGATGGGCAGTAACACGTTACAAGTAATGTATCATTGTAATCCGATTACTTTTTTCAAGTAATGAGTAAAGTAAGGGAGTGTTTTACTTGCATCTATTTGAAATAGTGAGTGTAAACAGAAAAAAATATATCTTATTTTATATTCTGGAATATGCAGAAAATAGGTTTAATTGTCAAAGACTGTTGCATGTAATTTAATTTTTGCTTGATGCAATGTGCACAAAGTTAAAAGATTAAAACTAATAAAACAAGTTTTGAAAAGAGACTTTTTTATTTGATTACATTTTGTATGATGGATTATGCAGAAAAAGTAGAATTGGGCTGAAAGGTCTATTGCTTTATTGCCTATTCAGGTTGTGTATCATGTTTTTAAAAAGTAACTAAGTAACTGAGTAACTAACTACTTTTGAAAATAAGCAGTCAGTAAAGTAACGGGATTCGTAAATTTCTGACAAAACCACCAGTAGTTAGAAGGATTTGTCTACTTCTTGTTACATAGTTACAATTTCTACATCAGTATTTTGCTTTCAGTCGATTTACTGTTCTTTCAAAACTGGCTGACTGACTCAAAAATGTACTCGCTTTTGTTTTGGAGCTGTCTACTGTATTAGGATGTGCTCGATTCAGAGAGTTAACTAGAATGAACTTAAATCTTTGAAAAGAAGTGTAAATGTTTAGCCACATTCTGTTATTACAGCATTATTATAGCAGCGTCATCAAGTACTGTAACACTAGGACGTGCTACAGTTTGATATGTATGTTTGTATGTTATATTTATGAAAAATGCCAGTGAGAAGAAAAATGATGATAAATCAATGGTGCTGTAAAGGTTCTGTGTGTTTTCCCGAATGGTTTTTATATACATGCTTATTGGAAAAATGTATACTGTGGGTGAGGAACTATATACGGTTACTTCACTGACCTTGACTTGCACAATAAAAACCCCAAAAAGTCACAGAAGTAAAAGAAAACACTGTAATATGCTCCAATAAGACTCTGAGGGCTAAACAGAGGACTTATTACTAAATGATGAGAGATTTCAGTGTTGTAATAACATCTCTCACAAATTGATTATCTGCACTTTATTGTTGAGGTTAAGGAGCAGCAAAAGAGCAGATACTGGATGCAAATACTTTACATGCATTCAAACAAAGAAACGTGCATTCAGAGTCACATGCACAGGGAGAAGACAGTGCTTTTTGGAATAGAAATATCCTTTATTGTGAAATTCAGCTGTTCCAGCAGCAAAGTGACAGGCAGATGGAGCATTATTCATTTAACTAGCATGGTTAATGGCACTGAATATGTACAAAGATGATATATTCTTGTCTTTTTAAAATGATTTTTTCGACTCACTCCTGATTTGTTATTTACAGTGCAAATTGTTGCGTGTACAGCCTAAGATTAAAACACAAATAGACACAAACAAATGATACGTCGTCACATTTATCTTTACATTTATGTAACTTCATGTAAGAAAATCAACTTTGTGTAATCTGAATCCATTCAAAAGCGTCTTTGTTGCAGTTTATTGGCTACTGTGATGGTATTGACTTTGGGTAATCATAAATGCTCAGTCGTTCCCAAGTCCCGTTTTTGGTGTCCAGCCAGTTGCTGGGAGAATAGATCCCTATCTCTCCTTCCTCCACTTTCTCATTTTCCTCACCAGAAGGACAAAACTCTTCCTCCTCTGAGCTGCTTTTCCCGGCGCTGTCTCCCCTGTCGCGAAACTTCTCTTCATTAATATTCTTGTAGCAGAAACTGCAGATCCTCAGCTTTTTAGTGGGGTGGATGTGATCGATAACGGCACGTTGCTTGGAGCATGAATTGCAGACCAAGAAGCCGCAATTCCTGCAGTGGTGTCGACGATTGACCCCACTAAACTTTGTAGAGAGGCACCGCATGCATTTGCAAGCAGCCGGATCAGGAATCCAGGAAACAGCAAACTTCTTGGAAGGTTTGCAGCTGGTGCCCTGCATTAGGCTGCACCGGCATTCATTGATGTGCTCTATCCAGGCCTTCTTCTCCTCGTATGAAGGGGCGGACACAAAAAAAGACTTGCTCGGTGTTCGGATCAGCCACTGATGCTTGAATATGTCACTGTCCTCCAGGTCTTCCAGCTCAATGTCCTCTAAAATCATAGTGATTTGATAACAACATAAAAATTACATGGATAAAGTGGTATGAGCAGAAAGCTGAACATATGAAGTTAAATTAGCACAGCACACTTGCTATTTTCTACTTGCCAGTCATATTATGGACAGTATTCAATAGTGTTGGCTCTTCTTGAAGCTTTTGTCTATATTTCTTTCTCTTCAGTCATAAAATAGTTTTTTGGCAGTTTCACAGTAATCTTCTCACAGTAGGTTAGCTGCAGGAAACGCAGATGAATGTCTCACCTAAAGGGATGATCTTCTGCTTTTTGTACCAGCGACCAGGCACAACAATGCTGCCGTACACCAGAATATCAGTGAAGAGGAAGAGGATTTTCTGCTGTATCTTCTTGCGACCCTGCTTAAACACAGTTCCCTCTCCGATTAGAATCCGGCCCGGCTTGGACAAGGGCTTCCCTGCTTGATGGAATGAACTCTCCACCGCCTGCACACGCTCTTGGTTCTCTCGTTCAAAGGTTGGGTGATCCATCATTTCTTTGGTGTGAACAAGTTGTGCAGCTTGATAGTGTCTGAACTCCAGAGTGCCTTTTTAAACTATTGGTGGTGATGTAACGGGGCGGGCCAAGTGACAAACATGTTATACTGGAAGGCAAGAAAAGAGTAGTGAGGCAGATGTAACTCTAATGATAATGAAGGGTGATTCTCGTTACAGGTTCCAAGACTGCACTCTAGCGATACTGCCCCCTGATGGTTACAAGCAGCAATTACAGCCTCGCTTCACTGATGTGCCAAAAAGTGATCGTATGCCAATCACTTTTTGCGTGTTTTTTATGTCTAGATCTCTTTTTATGTTTTTATATAGTTGCTTATATTGTTAAATAGGCTGCAGTAAACAGAGTTTAAAAATGGGTTATATGTTATATCAAATTTTAAAGCAGCTCTATGAATCTGCTTTATTGTACCTACATTATAAAGATCCACCCAGTCCTTTTCGGCCACTTGAAGAACATCACAGTTTTTTAAAGGACTGTGATTTTTTTTGTAACTTCTGCAGCCCTCCAGGCCAGACCTCGTTTGAAAACGACATTTTTAATGTCAGCGACACTTTTTACCTGAATAAATGAAAGCTGAATAAAAGTCACATCTGATGAAAGGAAGTTTCTTTTTGGATCAAAATGAATTGATCTCATTCATGAGAGAAACGTTTGACAGTTTATATGACAGCAAGTCATTTACATCTGTTACCATCAATTCTCTTTTGGCAAATACCAGAAATCACTTTGGCAAACGATCACTTTTTGGCACAACACTGGGCACCGGTCATTAGAGAACATGAATGATTATTGAATATTTAGTATGCAAACAGAATGACATAAATCTCTAGCATTCTGCACTTTATTCAAGGAAGTCAAGTAATGTGTTGTCTTTAAAAAGACAAAGGTGCGAGTGAATTAAAGTTGGATGTTATGTTTTGTTCACAGTGCCTGAATATATATCATGGTCAAGAAGGACTTCAAATGAGCCCTTTTGAGTCAGATAAATAATAATATAAGTAGTGATTTTTCAAAATAAAAGTCCTATGAAGGTTTTATGAATTTTCTCAGCAGTGACCTTAAACAGTTGTCCAAACACACAGTGGAATATATCTATAATACACAGAAACACAAACTTGTGCAGAAATTACATTTTAATCAAAGTCACATGTGAACTATTTACAGAAAATCATATTGTGGGATTTTGACTTTTTGCCCATACACAATGTCAATTTCTTCAAGTCCGTCCTCGTTTGTTGATGTTTCCACCATAGGGAC